TTTTGTAGCAATAATAAAAAAGATGACTATTATTTTCTTTTGGTTCAATCCCTTTGATGTATTATCAAATAAAATAAACCATTAAGAACGTCGTTATCTATTTTAATGTACATGTTTGTGGTTAATTAAATGTCAGCTTTGGTTGGTAGATACACAGGGGCCTTGTGCTACGAGCGAGTCTACAAGCACTGTAACATATTGTGTAGTCTAACTAGATACATGTTAATTTCGTTAAGAGATTTCTGATATTTATCGATATCTATCATTTAAATGAGAGGATATATACGAAATGTATAAACTATAATAAAATATATTAACAATACATGTGTATGTATCATATGTTATAGTATATTACTCATATATATATATATATATTTATGTACATAGGTATATGTAGGTGTAATATTTATAGATTTTATATTGTAGATGTTCTTTAAAGATCTAAAAATACTGAAAAAAGTGTATTCGACAAAAAAATACTCCCTTAGGAAAGTGTCGACAAAAGACGAAGAAAGGTCGTGTTAAATTTGTAGGACGTAATTCAGGTAGGTAAATATTTAATGTTGTCTAAATTCTATGAAATCTGCTGGTCTGAGTTGAGTGTTGAAGCCGTCGTATAGTAAGCGAGGCGTTATATTTTAACAAACCAGATAAATGTCGAACTCGTCTTAACAGACACTCGTAAATCATTTTTTATTTCGACATTTTTATCTGTTGTAACTAGGTTCTACAGTCTACTGAGTTTTATCTCTCTAGTTACTTGTTTTAATGACTATCTAATGGTAACACAAAATTAGTTTTAAAGAAACGAGTAATAAAATACGGGTAGTAGTTGAAATGAGTTAGAAACAAAAGGTAAATTTGGCACAAACGCTTTTTTTTTTTTTTTTTTTTTTTAACGTTACGTTTTACGCTTTCACGCTTATACGTATCAACCGATGTTGTTGACAACCTTATTTTTTCATATACATCTTTCAAAGAGCACAAATAATTACCTAACGTAATTTTCATTCTTCCGTGTGGTGACGGATTAAGAATACGGAATGTCACCACCCCCATTTATTCCGTGGGTGTCGTAAGAGCCGACTAAGGGAGAAAACTAGGCAGAACAACAGCACTGCAGAGAGAAGGAAAACTTGACACAAACCCTATACCAACCCGTCTGGCCAGCGTGGTATAGTAAGCCAAAGCCTCCTCTCTAATGTCTCTACCTACGTTCAGCAATGGACTATTACATGCTGTTGATGATGCTGATGATAAAAAACTCATTAAAGTTATTTTGAATTTGCTTTCCGTTTTGTTTCTTTCGTCATTCCGTTTAACGCTAACTCTCAACAAGTTCAAAAAAAGAATTGATGCCCTTGAGTTTCATTGAAAAAAGTTGTCACTGTATAAATACTGTAACATTAAGTTAATAATAATGTTATAATACTGTACCGTAAATGTTAAGTTTGTACCGATTTCGGCACAGTACAAACTTAAAATTTATATATAAATATACATAAATATAAATTGGTTTGTGTACTCTCTTGTAAAGATTCTATTTATAATTTTTTTTGCATCATTTTGTTCCTCATTTGTCATCAATGCAACCACAATATGCCACAGCGAAGCGTGGCAGGGTACAGCTGGGAATATGTTATGTTTAATACCACACTACTATATTATTGTAAATCATGTTACAGGTAGTAGTACCTTGACATTATTTACGCTCATTGAAATCGGTTTTAGGTAATATATTTTAATTGTAATCATTAAAGAATTAACCTTTTTGCACAAAGCCCTTCCGAAGGACAGATTGATAAATGAATGGACGAAAATTGTTAATTATTTTTAAAGCATAATTAGTGCTGGTTAAACTTTATGCCGCACTCATTACAAAAAGTTCCCGGAGTTAGAAAAGGTTTAATACGCTCTCGATGTTCTGATAAATTATCTATACTAATATTATAAAGCTGAAGAGTTTGTTTGTTTATTTGTTTGTTTGTTTGTTTGAACGCGCTAATCTCAGGAACTACTGGTCCGATTTGAAAAATTCTTTCAGTGTTAGATAGCCCATTTATCGAGGAAGGCTATAGGCTATATATCATCACGCTAAGACGAATAAGAGCGGAGCACCAATGAAGAATGTTTCAAAAACGGAGAAAATTTATTACTATTGAGAGACGCAGACGAAGTTGCGCGGGTCAGCTAGTGTAAGATAAACTGTGAAACAGTTTTAATGGAAAAGTCTCATCAGTACACTATACAACAGATATATCTAATGAAGTTAATGTAACATATCTTATCAGTTGAGCCTTTTTCGTCGTAGTAGTACCCTACGAGAGATTACCGCACTGAAATTAAACCTAATAGTGAACTGATAATTCGGAATCGAATCCCTGAGAGCCCCTCTAAAGCTAAATCCTCTTGATTAGCAGGCGGCCACACCGTGGAGGTGAGCTTAGCCATGGAAGCTTGGCAACTATCATATACATCTTAGCATTCCAGAACATTATCGATATATAAAGAAATAGGTTCCGCCCGCGTATGTATCGGGTATCTCGGTAAAAAGTAGCCTATTTCCTTCCTCAATAATAATAGTATGTCCATACCAAATTTCATCCGAATCGGTTTAGCAGCTTAAGCGTGAAGAAGTAACAGAAAGACAGACAGACCCACTTTCGCATTAATAATATTAGTATACATTCCAAACTATAAATATATCATAGTTCGTAAAATTAAAGGGTTTAATTTCTATTTTTAGTGTCTTTTGAATTATGAGAACATTTTAATAGTGTTTTTGCTATGATAACTGTATGAGTAAATTTATTATAATTATGCTTTCGTAGAAGGTGACTCATGCGTGTATTAATTTCAAATGTTTTCTCAGGGCTCGACGAATCACAATTTATTTTTGTATACGATGAAATAAAAGTGTATGTAGAAGGACGTTTCATGAACATTTAATGGACAGTTTATGTGTGACATTGTTGTTAAAGACCAGAGATTTTAAGAATCAAAAGAAATATAAAGGAAAGGTTTCAAAATATACCCTTTGTGAAAAATATATTTCTTATTAATATTTTTTTAAATATCTTCTATCGCGACATGATGCAATCTTCTCACCGAAAATCATATAAAATTATCAAAATTAAGCGGTAGTTCAGCGGGTTAGGTAAGACAAATAACAGGAAGACAGATTAGTAATTCTTCTCTTATTTCTTCTGTAAATATAATTTTAAAATTATCGGATGAACGGTATACAATCGGTTTTGAAACCCTTCCTTATACTAATCGTAGAGAAGGTATGTAACCTTCTCATACTAGACTCAAAACACAACTTGATGCCTAAGCGCTCTGCTGGTCGAATGCGGAGCGGTCCTTAAATCTCTTGAAAATTTGTTAAAACCTAGTGAATAAAATCAAAAATCGGCTTTGACTTATCTATATAGATATTTGTTTTTTTTTTACAAACACAATAGCAATGCAAATTTGAAAAAAGGAAAGCCAACACAATCATAACTTAATACTACTACTTTTAATGATAGTATCTGACACTAACGGTACGCACTGCTTTAAATTAACAATATCCTTCAATCTATTTTATGTAAATTGCCTTTGGCAGAAATTTTCACGCGGTGCGAATATACAAAGTTTGTAATCAATCGGAAATTTGATATTGGTGATGAGAAGAGAACCGTTGCCCTCACAATATTACTGCTGGTTATAATTTAACATATACATTTACTAGACAGTGAAGAGTGTCACGTTTTCAGTCTAAAATATCTACATTTTTATTCCATCGCGTTCATGAGTCATGTAAGACGACTCAGTTATTATTAGATACTTATTATTAAATAGGTAGAAAATAAACACACACTATCTTTATCACGTTTTAATGCGAATAGGTTTTTTCAAGGTGTGTGTATCACCTTAGAAGACATTCTATTATTTATTTTTTTTCCTTACCCCTCTCCCCCTTCCAATTGCGCCTGATTCAGTCATCAGCTAGCAGTCCATATATTATATTATTAATCAATGTTAAAGACTCAATAGTCAAATATGAGTCAATAGGTATTAAAATATGTAGGTAGTTAAAAATTTATGATGTGTATCGTTAATCATCATCGTTAATGTACCGTTATTTCGTTTATGTACTCTTTACGTGTTATTTAAAAGATATATGTATATGTATTTAATACAATAGGTTTCCTTTTTTTTAAATTAAACTCTCAATAAACATTCCGACTCCAAAGCAAGTTGGAATATAGTCAAAAAAATGATGATGATGAGTAAATAATATTGTGCTTATTTTTCTAACGTGTGTAACATAATGTATATATTCATTGGTAATCATATTTTCAAAACTCAAATAGGTACACCTTCAACTATTACTGTCCCTCCAATACATTTTGATAATTCCTAAGGTCGCCGGAAACAGATTGCCCTTAGCAATAGGCCGCCCATTGTACATTATAGATCAGAATTATTTATGTATAATACTGCATTCACGGTTCTGTATACTTTTGTAAAAATTGTGTACATACGAGTATAAAGACTTTTCTACCTATCCAACAAAAGTTCTATTTTCATTAGTAAAGCCGTGTGTAAATTAAATTTTTTATATTTTTATGACAAAAAATAAAACAGTTTTGATTCTTTAATCATAAATATATTTTGAGCATTTTTGAAGGATGTGTTAAGAAACTGGACTTATATTAAGACATTAGTTACTAATCACAGTGACAAATGTATCCAATCAGTTGCCTAGGCCGAACACTCGTGACTTTAAATACTCTTATGACATATTTCAGTGGACAACAGCGAACAACGGACGGTATTAGAATTTCTAATTGGATTGCCTTCAGTAAACTTTTAAACTGAGAATGTGTAACGCACTATATAAGACTTACGGCTTGTGCACCTGATCTCTTTTTTATTATGAAAATATCCTCTCTCATTTCTCTTAATAAAAAATATTTGGCATCGACACTTCCAATATCTCAGATTTGTGCAACTTATGCCGAACAAGCAAGGAAACAAGCTACTGCTTGGCAGCCGACGTAGCACAACCCAATCAGAAGATAAGATAAGATAGGAATGGCATAAACGAGGCCCATAAAACTGTATCCTAAACAGTAGCCTAAAGCTTTTTTGAAAGTCATTACTTTCCTTCGTTCTACCCAGTATAGACAGTCTGCTTCTCTTTGTCCTGTAAAATCAATAATATTTATGCATTACAGTGTAATGAATAATACAAACTAATAGTTTTCTACGGGAACGGTAATTGAGCTATAGGAAAACAATTATTTCGAAGACCAACTTTTGTCGGGCTTCGTGTGCTTAAAAGCTTTTTCACAGGGCTGTATTTAGAATTTTCATTAAATCATCATCAGCAACAGCCTTTAATAGTCCACTGCTGGACATAGGCCTCTCCTTAGAAAGGAGGTTTTGCTACTATACCATGCTGGCCAGACGGGTTGGTATAGGGTTTGTGTCAAGTTTTCCTTCTCTCTGCAGTGCTGTTGTTCTGCCTAGTTTTCTCCCTTAGTCGGCTCTTACGACACCCACGGGATAAATAGGGGTGGTGACATTCCGTATTCTTAATCCGTCACCACACGGAAGAATGAAAATTACGTTAGGTAATTATTTGTGCTCTTTGAAAGATGTATATGAAAAAAATAAGGTTGTCAACAACATCGGTTGATACGTATAAGCGTGAAAGCGTAATACACTAAGTCCGTGGGAGAGCCATGCCTCGACACAAGTGGGCTGGTGATACCAGAAGGTCAATTCTCGAAGTTCGGTTCGGTTCAATTCAGTTTCGATCAACTCTCGATCTCACAACTGTCATAAAAGGTATTTTTTTTTAGTAAAGTGTGAAACATCCAACGTTGACTAATGTGGTATATCGTATTGTGTCCGAAAATTCAATCGGTAATCTGCTAGTCTTAGTAATACTTTACTATTTTACTTCAGGGCGTCTCAGAAAACCGGTTTTAAGCAATTCTTCTGTTGCTTTCACCGAGTGTTAGGTTACCGGAGCCCAAACTCCCTGATTCTAGGTGAAGTGGACACAAAGCGCGGCAACGCAATAGTGACTCTTGAGTTACCCCATGGACATCCCCTTAGTCATTTTCTTAGTCTAAAAAATGTTAGTCATTCAATAGCATCTTACATAGATTTAAAAATTTTCGCCTCTTAACATTTTGTTTCTTAAAGTCACAAGTCGCTTTTTAGCTTTTGAAGATTACTAATATTGTAAATAGAGCAGAGGGATTAAGAGGAGGGATTTAGATCAGAGACTCGTACATGGATCATTAATACCGATAGCTTCCAGAGCCACATAAACCTAAAGAAGTAGAAGGCAAATTTCAAAATGTTAAAGGTGAAAAACCTCGCTTTTTTTTCTTTTATGGCATAGGAGGCATCAAGCAGACAGAGCACTACCGTCCATTGACACCTGCAACGCGAGGGTCACAAGCTGCGTTGCAGCTTTTTAGTTTCCACCCCCCAGAACCAGGGGAGGAAGGTGATTGGGGTAAGGTAACCTCACTCACTATGTGAAAAGCAACGAAAAAATTGCTTTTCAATGGTACTCTGTAAGGCAGTTATATCACTCCGGTCGAGTCGGCCCAAATGGGCCTTAACTTGGTTCTCCACGATTGAACGCAAGCAGAATACGCAGATAGAATACAGATATACGTACGCTGGGCTAATTTCCTCAGCCTCTCCTTCTCTACTCTACTAATTCTCGCCATTTTGTAGGTGAAGTAGGATCTTTTCGTAATAAAATTAGCCTAGACAGCTAGTGTTCCTTATTTTTTTTTTTTGCTAAATGTCTTCTTATTGTTGCATTGCGATTGATTGTTGTTTTTACTGTAAATTAAATTGGGAGTCGAATTTCTCACATGACGTTTCAGAGTCAATGATTAATTGAAAATGACAACTCCTGTCATTTTACATAATATGAGCTTGTTATTTTTTTTTATATACTGTTGAATGATAACTTTTCTATAGGTCTTCTGGATCTCTATTCTCCAAATAGTTATTTAACCTTATTATTGAACGCTTACTTTTAAACACAGCTTCGCTCTTTGTTTCTATAATTCATGATGTTAAAAAAAATATGCTGATTACAAACTAATGGTCCCACTCAATATAACATTTATTTGCTCGATAACATATTTACTCGATATGAGTTCTAGATGTAACACAATTTTTGCTAAGCCATTTTGTGTATAGATAACAAAATAACTTACGGCACTTAGCGCAAAATCAGATAACCTAAATCAATATTTTATTCAGTTTTTTCTCATTTATATATCGACGAACTACTTATGAAACCTTTCAGACTTTATAGCATGAATCATGATAGTTAAAATTATCATTAATAGTTTTATCCAAATTAAGGTTGTTTTTTTCAGAGAGAGAGATATAAATTCAGTTTTAGTATTCATATATAAATCCAGTCACATCATGTAACGTGGAGAGATCATTCAGCCAATTTGAGGCTATATTTAGACCGAATCGTCAGAATCGTAGTTTCAGACGAATGGACGTCAAAAACCTGTGTGCAGGCGCTTCTGCATTAGACTGGACAGAGTTGGCTGCAGCTACAGACATGAACGGAAAAGTTACTCTTTTTAATGACGCAGTTCTTAACCTGTATGATATCCACGCACCTGTGAGGAAAGTCAAATTGAAGCGCCCTCCGGCTCCATGGATGACGGAGGAAATTCGAATGGCTATGAGACGGAGAGACCGTTGTTTTAATGGGTACAGGAAGGATCGCTGTGAGGAGAAATGGAACCTTTTTAAAGCTGCTAGGAATCGGTGTAACCAGGTGATACGTAACGCAAAACGCCGCCATATCATTCAAAATATAGAAACCTCTTCAACTTCCAGTGTGTGGAAGTTCCTTGGAACACTAGGCATTGGCAAGCAACAACGCCCTGAGTTTAAGATGACAATTGGTTTAGATGATATTAACCGTCATTTCTCAACTACACCTCAGTTGGATCATCAAACCAAGTGTCAAACCTTGAGCTATATAGCTAGTCTAACCCACCCTGATATTAAATCCTTTGACTTTTCTCCGGTATCTTCTGAGGACATCAAAAAGATTATCCTATCCATTCGTTCCAATGCTGTGGGATGTGACGGTATCAGCCGTCGCATGATTGTTACCATCCTGGATCACGTTCTTCCAGCAATATCTCATATCATAAACTTTTCCCTTGACTCTGCAACCTTTCCCTCACTCTGGCGTAAGGCCTTCATCATTCCTTTACCCAAAAAAACTAACCCCTCTCTTCCCGAACACTTTCGACCAATTTCTATACTTCCCTTTCTTTCTAAAGTGCTAGAGGCCTGTGTACATAAGCAGCTCACACAGTTTGTAAATCAGCAGAATCTTCTTAGTCCTTTACAATCTGGGTTCAGACCTGGTCACAGCACAACCACCGCTCTCCTCAAAGTGACAAGCGATATTAGGGAGGGTATGGAGGAGACTAAAGTCACAGTGCTGGCTTTGATTGATTTCTCGAATGCCTTTAATACCGTTAGTCATGACGTTCTACTGGCCATCCTTTCCTATCTTATGATCTCCTCAGAAGCTCTGGAATGGTTCTCCTCCTATCTTTAGGGACGACAACAGAGTGTTCATATTGATGACTTGTCGTCGAGTTGGTGTGATCTTCTCACTGGCGTCCCTCAAGGCGGTATATTATCTCCCTTATTATTCTCAATATTCATTAATCTCATAACCCGGCACCTTCAGTGTATGTATCACCTGTACGCTGATGACTTACAAGTGTACACACAGACAAGGGTTGAGGACATAACATACGCTATCGACAAAGTCAACAAGGACTTGGACTTTATAAAGAGCTGGTCAACGAGGTTTGGTTTGTCGGTAAATCCAACCAAATGTCAAGTGATCGTCGTGGGGAGCAAACAAATGATAGGTAGGTTGGATATGGCGGTCATCCCACCAGTTGTCTACAATAATGTGACTATACCTTATAGTGCAGTGGTAAAGAACCTGGGGTTATATATCGACTCGACACTTGACTGGCGGGCACAGGTTACACACGTCGGCCAGAAAGTCACCACATGTCTCTGTGCCTTATATCGATTGAAGAACTTCCTTCCCGCTAAAACTAAGGCTACGCTTATGCAATCCTTAATTATTCCCATAATCGACTATGGTGATGTGCGTTATTTCGACCTGAATGCAGACCTTCTCAATAAACTAGATCGCCTTCTCAATAACTGCATTCGATTCGTTTTCAATCTTCGCAAGTATGACCACGTGTCTGCTTTACGTTCCCAGCTGCAATGGCTCCCAATTCGTCAGCGCCGCAGTTTACGAGCACTGACTTCTCTCTTTTCTTTCCTCAACTCTCCATCGTTACCTGAATACCTCGTACCCCACTTCCGTTTCCTATGCTCCAATCACGATCGAAATCTTCGATCAACCAACAATATGCTTCTTCTATGCCCCCCTCACACCTCTAACTTCATCAACTCCTCCTTCTACGTCCAGTCAGTCCTCGTCTGGAATGCCCTCCCTGCCGAAATCAGGATGTCAACAAATCGCCTCGCATTCAAGAGAAAAGTGCGCGATCTTCTTCGGGGTGAATTGGCGAAATAGTTACAGCTCTAGTTCCCGACTGAGTATTTATATATTTTATTAAATTTATGTAGGTTTATGTATGCATGTGTGTTTTTATATTGTGTATGTTTCTGGACCTAAATTATGTTAATTTCATATTTTATTTTGCACCTACCGCATCATATTTCTACATCACCTGAAGGTTGACTGGGAGAGAATGCCTAATGGCATTAAGTCCGCCTTTGTACAATATGTGCATTAAGTTTAAAATAAATAAATAAATAAATAAAATATTATTTTTTTAAATTTAAAGAAACATGTTATTGTGTGCTACCAATAGAAAAAATTTATGTAATTGACGTTTTTTTTTTTGTTAAAAGTCTACTAGCAACCGAAATTACTAGTATTCCCGCTAACCCCTCCCGCTAAGCTAAATTGCTTGTGTTAGGAGTGGGTTCACGTCTGTAGTGTACTGGTCAGGATTCGAACCCACGACCAGTGCCTTAACCACTAGGCTACTGCCGCTTAATATAACTGTTACTATAATAAATGGTTATTCACAATAAACAAAGTTTAAAATGAAAGATATTGTTATTTTATACGCCATATTTTTCCATAAATTCTATTTTTTGGTCCATATTAATGTACATATTTTGTATTTTTAATACATATTTATACGGGCCCTACTTATTACCTTTACAGGATAGTCGTACCTAGTATTTGCATAAGAGAATATTGGATTGAAGCAAACTAAATAAAAAGTATTATTTTTAACCATTACAAAGTAAGTGATGTGACATAAACGTGACGCCTTTAAGATGTTTTGTAACAAATATTTTGAGATAAAAGAGAATAGCTAGTTACTAAATGTATTAAAATAACTAATGAAGAAAATGGAAGACGATATAACTCACAAACTTTTGTTTCTCAATCATTTATTTGTTCAGAAAGCTTATGTGCTTATGAACAATAGTTAAAAAAAATCTTAGATGTGCATATCAGCTATTTACAAAATGTATTATGAGATATTTTTGCAATCGGGTATATTTTTAACAGCGACGTTGAAAGAATGTACAACTATGTCTCTAAAAATATCTACGACACAAAATCTGGTGCTAGAAAAACCACAATTATTCAACATAAAAGAAAAAATACAACAAATTAAATTTAATTTCTAATTTTATTTAATATGTTTTCTAACACTTGAGTTTCACCGTGTTCAATTTCAAATAAAATTACTGCCTTTTATCCCCAAATGTTTTTTTTTTCCTTAAACGAAGAGCGACTTTAGAACGAAACGTTGACAGTAATAATAATTATTGGCGCGAAAATATTTAAAGTAATCTGTGGTAATGATGACATTCCGTCTACCCGCGCAAATTGCAGGATGACATTTAGCGGAATTACTCATTCGCCTCCGTAATAAGTCTGAATAGCAGTTTTGACGGATGATCTTTATGTTGCGGAAAGTTTAAATTGAGTTGCGAAAGTTGAACGTTGAAAATTTTAACAATAAATTGCAAAATCTATTAACTGAACGTGAAGTTAGTGCCATTAAAAGAACAATCTTGAATAATCTATAATATAAATAGCACACTTGCGGAGTTCACTAAAGCTGTTAACACATTGAATTAACCTTCAATAAGAGGCTTACGATATTTTGATTAACACCAAGTGGCGTCAGCGAATTTAACTTACTTCAGTTAAGGTGTTTATAATTTTAGATCTTGTGGAAATGAATGAAAATGTTATATAAAATATTTATTTGTCGCGTTAATTCCATTAACGCGATAAATAAACAATCACCTACATAATTTATTAATAGCCACGTGTAGACGAGTGGTTAAGCCATTTGACTGCACTGAGATGGAAGTGAGTTCGGTTCCCACATAATTTATTAATTGTCTAACGTTTAATGGTTTAATGGCTTGGGTCAGACTTGGCCCTAATCCGCCTGGGACCAACAAATAATAAAAATTAATACTATATTATATTTGAATTGTTATTGTTCAAATGCTATTTACATAGAACATTTAAGCAAATCCTAAACCAATAAACCTATTGACAAATTAAGAGCTGCAGCACATACTTAAACTCAAAAAAACTTTCTAATACCGAAACATTTATATAGTACAATTAAAG